TAATTTCGCGTTTTAATCTTCGATTAAGGCACAATAGCACTATCCTATTTCACTTTAAACTAGATTTCACAAAATAATTGAAAGTCAAAATAAAAACGACACTTTTCCCTCCAAAAGGTCCAGAGCGAATCTCAGTTTTTGTTAACTTCAAAATAGTGTTGTCTTAAAGGTTTGACTTAGGGTAAATTATAAATTTTTAATAATTTGTTGTTATTTCATTTGAGAAGAAATCAAGAATTTGATTACAGAATAATGCAAGACCTATAGTAGAATTTTAAATAAATATTTAGCAGCATTTCCATACTGCCTCGGTGGCCGAAGGGTTACCATGCTGGACTGCTACGCAGAGATCCCGGGTTCGATTCCCGGGCCGAGATATGTTTGTATGGCCTCCATTTATTTCTCTCGTGAGTTTGGGTGTAATTTGTGTTTTTCTATGTGTGTGTCCATGGCATCCGCGTTACAGGGTTTTCCTAGGCAGGACTATGAGTTACTAGTAAAAAATCTTTCCCTTTTTGACGGATTCTTTTTTCATTAAGTTTATTGAGAACTGAAACGAACACATCACTGTATAAAAAATATGGCAACATTATTTTTCAAAGTGGCATTTGCTGTCAGTTTGTTATCTCTAATTAAAACTACGACATAATGTAACGAGTAACCAGATTCAAGGTAGATTAATAATGTAATTAACTTGTGTTGCTTACTTGGTTTTAACAATGTAACATGTTAGTTAAATTGTATTGTTACTTACATTTTAAACTGCCGACATTTATGAAGTTCTCATCTCAATCGGGCCCAGCTCGGGGTGCTGTCATCCTCGAAAGTTTTGCTGATGCGGGCTTATAGATTTTCTATTCCATCTTAAATTTAAATAAGGTTTATATTATAATAACTACATTATTTATTTCTAGGTTAAGGAAATAAATATTTGTATGTGTGCAATGAAAAACATTGATTTTAATCAAGTTAGCTTATGAAGACACTTGATGGAATCAGTCACAACTTGATTAAATTCATTGTTTAAAAAGGTTGCAGCAATCACTAAAATTCTTCCTGCAACAATTGTGCTTGGTAACCTCAGAACATGTTACAAGGAAAGAACTAATATGATCACTTTAAATAATATTTTGTTTATTTCAATCACATTGTTTTTTAGTATAGTGAAATCTGGAATTCAATATGTTTACAACGTATTGGATGTAAAACCGCTCATGACTTGAAACTTTGCGCTAGAAAGTGTACGTGTGGTGCTAAAATATTCACTATTTGTAAAGTTCGAACGCAATTTAACTTTATGAATATTCTTTTACTGCCAAATGAATTGCAACAGAAACTATTGACAGATTGGAGCTTGTTTTTAAAAATACAAATTTTTAGTACTCAAGTTGTGCAGTAAAATAGAAGTTGTTGAGAATTTATAGTAGAAAATTATGAGGAACCTGGGTGATAATATTCTCTGGGGTTGGAGTGCCATGCAAACTCTACCTAACTCCCACTTCAACATTGTACTTTATAGATTAAAACTTTTCATGCTTATTTTACGAGTATCTCCTGTAACGTGTGGATTTCCATAGGGACAACATTTTACTAGCGGTAAGCATGGGCTGGTTTATTGTGGACTTGGAGGATGATTTTTTAATACTTCGCTTCGTAAAACCTATTGTTTACCAAAGCAGGACGCGAAGAGCTGTGTTTTGGGAACCAATTGTGTTTAGTTAGTTTAACATCTCCGTGACATTTAGGTAAAAAAATGAACTTTACGTATGCTTTTTTAAATCTTTTTCAAATATCCGATGAATATATATAATAGAAGGTAATACGGCAGTTACGCGGCGTTTTGGCAGTATACACAACGGATATGAAGTAGAACTTCGGCGTATACCTACGTAAATAGTACAATTTGAAAGCTTTATTGAATATAATTACAATATTGTAACTTATTTTATTGCTCAGTTGTTATGACCTTGGTAATAATAACTAGGTAGGAAACCAAGTTTGTGGAATATCTAGTCGTAAAATAAATTTAGCATTAAAAACATATATCCAACTCTTAACACTAGTAAGCTTTTTGATTAAGGCAAAGGAACTGGAATATCAGTAAATTATATTTCGCAGCTCCATTCTTAGCAATTTATTCTAGTTTACGTATTGTAGCTACGTCTCCACGCAACAGCCTTTACACGAATTTTTTAAAGAAAAATAAATAAAAATGTCACTAAATGGCAGGCTATGCTTTTGTCTCAATTGCGCGTCATTCATTTTCATATGTTCAAAGTATAAAAAGAATTATATTTTCTTTTATTTCCTCTACTAAGTAGTCATAAAATATCCCCTTCGTACTTAAGACGAGGTGAGGATATAATTATGATCGAACTTCACGTACAGGTAAGTTCGTTTGACCATCAGATTTGTGAATCATTACAGTGGAAGTACCGTCATTATCATCATCATCGTCAACTGGCGTATGTTACTGAACACGGATCAAGGACGGACTGTGTACAGTGCGGGCTGAGGGCCACACGTATTGTAAACTGTCTATGAAAGTGCAGGTGTGTCTTTGACGTTTTTCCCCATTTTTAGATAACAGTTTGATTCACGTACTTACATATTTACTATTTCGCGGTTGAGAGTTAAGTACACTTCACGTTTTTTTAACTCTTTCTAGTTTTATATCGAATCTAAATAATCCAAACGAATATTAAATGCAAATGTAACTCTGTCTTACGTTATCACGAAAAAACAGCTTAACCAAATTTGATGAATTTCGGTACAGAGATAGATGCGACCTACAAGAAGGACATAGGCTCCTTTTTTGTCACAAAAATAAATCTAATATAATAATTAAAAAGGGTGAAAGAAGGAATGAAAATTTATATGGTAACCAATAAAACTATGAAAATTGGTATAGTACATTAGGCTTCTCGAAGTACATATTCTATGCAGGCGAAGTTGCGGGCATCAGTTAGATCTAATTAATATAAAGTGAAACATATGACTACAAAACCACAAAATGTAAAACGCATTAACATGCACAGCTAAATTGTGCCCTCGGAGCGAAAAACGGCACAACTAACATTTTTATCAAAATTAAATTATATACATATTCGGGATTAGAAAATAAAGCCAATGTAACAATTTTTTTGTGGAAATTTATTGCAATAATTGTTGGAGATACAGCAAGCTCAAAGGTAATAATAGCATAACTGACTTGAATAATCAAATTTTTTACTATAAAAAGTCTTATTTGACGTTTGTTACGTTAAAAAGACTAATGTCAAAGGATTTTACTTAGTATAATGTGCCTTTGTTATGTCGTTGGTAGTTTTTGTGTTATAATAACCAAAAAGGCACAATAGAATACAATAGTGCCCTTACTTTTTATTCATGAATCAAGTATTAAAAGTCACATTTAAATTAGTTATGCCCTTTATATGCAGTTATAATATTTTTATATATTTTTTTCTACTACGATGAAAGAGAAAATGAAGGTATTTTTTAAAATGGCTCATTCAAATACAATGAAACTTTCTGTACGAAACATGTGATATGTATTTATAACATAAATAAATACTTAGTATCAAATGTATTTTCTAACTATTCTTTTGTCAGAAAACCCTAAAAAATATTTAAACACATTTATTTACGAATTTAGAATTTGCTGTTGTTCCTTTCTTTCTTCCGAAAGCAGAATTGCTGTCAAATCTAATCTTGCTATCTTTACTACCCATCTAACAAATTATACAAGATCGTACACAATTCTCATCGCTACGCATCCAATATAAAAAAAATGTGCAATTCCCTTGCAAATCCTATCAGTCGATCTCAATACCAATAATAAACCTATCCTTTTGTTCGCGTGCACTTGTTTCACACCTACTTAGGACTCGTTACCCAGGATTGAAGGCTCGCGGTCGACGAACCCTTTAAAAAAAACCAGTAGGGAATGCTTGCGAGTTCTGTACGGAGATGAGAAACGTTCCTTGTATTTTTATGTCCGTATAAATTGCAGTTATAGGTAATGCTCAAAGAGTTTATGTATGTTAATATTAATTTTCGGGTACATTCAATCGTACTAAACTTAATTCTTGAGTTTTCAAAAAGGAATATTGAAATATTTGTGAAATTCATTACGAAATTAATAGAGAAAAATACTTTTGCAACGATGAATTTATTCCGTAAATTGTATTAAAATGTGTCAATTTATTTGTATTAAAACGCTTATCTAAATGCCTTATTTTTTCCTGTTATATTTATAGCTCACTTAGCATTACTTTGTAAATAGGAATTGTAATAATCCAATTTACTCGCGGTTATCAACAATTAACGTTAAAATTTGTTTTTACATCCATGCTTAATGGGTTACTATATTTTCTTCGTTTGAAATAATAATTGGTAATCCTTTGTTGTTTTCAACTAATTTGACATGAGTGGAGGAGGTTTTATCAATTCCTCATTCGGTTCTTATTCTTCTATCTTATTATTATTTTCAATTGACATAAATATGACAGACTTGGATTTGGATCTTCCCATGGTGCAGAATTTTTTTGAAGTTACCAATTTGATCTACTGATGTCAAAAGTGATTCCTAGATTACAGACATCTTTTTCGTTGTCTTTGTTTAAAAGTGTGCAATAACTTCCCCTACAGAACCTAATATGAGTTGATATCATGGCTGCAATGCTGAAGTTTGTCGTGTTCTCTGTTATTTCCACGTTACTTTGAAGTTAATTCAGTAAGTGTCTTCTTATACACTGTATTTAATAATATAACTTGTTAATTATATTAAAATGCTCAGCATGGCTAAATATCTATTTTGGTAAGAAAATCTAAGAAGTATTTGTAGTTATTATGAAAATGTTTGATTGTTAGAGACAACTACATTTATTTGTTAAATATAAAAAGTCTATTTCTTGCGTCATATTTTTTTTTGTATTCTTTTTGTTTCACGAAAACGTTAACAGGATTGCATTGTAAAAGAAACTTTTTTTATTTCAATTGATATTTAATTTTTTCATTTATCACTTTTTGACACAGTCGACTTTCGAATGTTTTACAATAAATATTTTTCTTTAGGCTTTATGACTATAAAATTACAAAAATATACATAAAAATGTACTAATCGAACTTAACCTAAATTTATCACAGATATCGGCAGTGATGCCATGTTAAGTCACATTAATAGTATTGGGCCACATTGCCCTTCACACAGCCTAGGCAGGCCTAACACGCTTTATACACAGGCGTGGAACTTGTTACTGAGAATATAGCATCTAAAATTTATCGGAACTGATATAGTAAATGGCAGTTGACAAAATGGTACGACCAAATTACAAATAAAGTAAATTTATGTAAAATATTGTGGACTTATCATTATTATATAATTAGTTGAAATATTTACAATACTATAATTAGTTTATGTACAATACCTACGTCAACAGACTAGCCATCACAATTTTACACCAAACAGTCACTTCAATCCAAAGTTCAGCACTTTTCTACACATGAACCGAGAGTGTCCGAGGGGAGGCTCTGGGTGGACCTTGGTGTTGTGCGTGCGCTGGGTGCGGCGGCAGCACAGGCAGCGCGCCATGCACTGGCGGCGCCGGCAGCGCACCCAGATGATTCCTTGTGTGATGATGTCTATGCATCGGCACTCCACCTCCTGGCCCTGGACTTGGCACCCCTCGACACCTCTGGTTATTAGGCACATCCGGCAACGCAAACCTTAACTTCTCCCAGAATAACTTATCACCCCAATGAAGATAGGTGTTCGTTTTTAAATAGAGTCTTATATCCGGATCGAGATCTTTTTGAGGCACTTCACCAAGCAACACAACTATTAATCTTCTTCGCCTGTCCCTTAACACTTGATGATGCGCGGATTTGAATTCGAACCGACACCACTCTGATTTGATAAAGTTTTCACTGAGAACCATTATAGTGCGACGCGAAGACTCCACAGCTTGTATTATGTTGTCGGCCACGTAACCGCCCACAGGGAAATCTCGGTAATGCAGACACAGTTTGTATGAGGGGTCACCGCGCTCCAGCATAGGCGCTAATTCTTCCGCTACCCAAGCTTCATCTTTAGAACTATAACTCACAAATGCATCAAACATTTTCTCTCTATCGTCTCTATCTATGTCACTTGCTCTGTAGAACAATCTCACTCCGAATTTTGAATGGAACCATACTCTCATTTCTTGTCTGAATATAAAAACAATCATACTGACAAAAGACACCAACAAGAATGCACCAAGCGTCGCAACAAGTAAAGGAATGTAATCTTGCACTTCTTCGTTGGTTATTATCGTTTTAGTCGCTGTTAAATTGCCGTTGATGCTGTTGTTTATACTTGGCAGTCCAGTGCAGGTAGATCCATTTTCATACACAATGTTAAACCCAGAATCTGGGTCGCTGTATACGCTTTCGTTGTAAGTAGTAATTTCACTATTATTCCCTTTCGTATAAATACACTTGATATTTGATAGGTCCGTTATAGAGTTCACTCTCTTCGTCCATTCTCGAAACATTTCAGTGTACTCGCAATCACACGACCACGGATTATATGAAAGTGTTATTGCGGTTATGGCGGGATTTATTTGCCACACCGAGAGTGTAGTCAATCTATTGTGATGAAGATGTAGAACTTTGAGACGTGACATGTGATTAAACATGCCTTTGCCGATGTGTCGGATTTTGTTGTTGTTTATGTAAAATTCGTGTAAGTTGTCCAATCCGTCAAATTCTTGACCCTCGATGGTCGTTAGTTCATTGTAATCCAAATGCAATATTTCGAGTTCTTTTAATCCGTTAAATGTCCTGTTGTGAATAGCTTCGATATTAGATGAATTCAGATACAGTATCTTTAGTCTTTTTCTACCGATAAAGGCGTGACTTGGAAGCATCTTTATGTCATTACCGTCGAGATACAGTTGTGTGGCCTCCATCGGTATTCGCTCGGGCAAAGTGTTCACATAACCGGCGTTAGAACACTCCACAACATTGGCTGACCACGATTGATCATGATAACACGTGCAGTTATTCGGACAAGTCATTTCGCAATCACACGCGTCAAAGTCACAGCAATGGCAGAGCGCAAAACAATGAAACTCGTATTTACACAAAAACTGGTGAGAAGCCGCTTCTACTAAAGGTACATATGAGTTTCCGCGATTATAAAGCAATTTGCAGTAAATGCTGTCTAAATCCATTAATTTTGGCTGAGTTCGAGCTCTGTTGCCGGTGTTAATTTTTTGCAACCACTCCATCGTGCAATCACATTCCAACGGATTTCCGCCAATGAAAAATTCTGGCACTGATTTGTCCTGAGGCACTGCTGATATTCTCAATGAATTAGGATCTAGACTGGTTATTTTATTACCGTATAAATCCACTCGTGTTAGGTTGGGTTTTTTGAAGAAAGTGTAAGACTGCACTTTAGAAATAAGATTGTCGTTCAAATATAACATTTCCACCGAATTCGGTATTGCACTTCCAGTAATTTCAGTTAACCTATTAGAACTAGCGTCAAATGTACTGAGCGATAGTTGCGATTCAATCTCAAAGTAATTTCCAAGTTCAGCGATTCTGTTGGCGTGAATATCCAGCCACTGCAATCCAGTTGGAATCATGGCGTAGTCGAACCATTCCAATCGATTATCAGATATGTTCAACCACACCAAATTAGGCAACTTGGCGAAAAGACCGCCTATATCGGATAAGTAATTTCCATCTAGCCTTATTGCTTGCAAATTAACGTTCGCGTCAAATGCGCCCGCTTCAATTTTATGAATCTTATTTCTTGATAAGTTCAGAATTTTTAATGAGGTCATTTTATCGAACACGCCTTTGCTTATATTACCAATATTGTTTTCAGTTAATCTCAAGCCGTACATTTGTTGCATAGTCATGAATGAAGCATTTTCGATGCTCACTATTAGATTTTCACCCAAATCGAGGGTTTTTAACTGAGGAATCTCTTTCAAAGCTACAGGAACTTCGTCCAGTCTGTTGCCATTGATATGTAAATCTTGTAGCGAGGAACAATTGCGAAGCGCATGTGGATGTATTTTGGTGATGCGGTTGCTATCTATAGAGAGCACTGATAATACTTGTAAGCCTGTGAATGCATAGCTTTCAATGTTTATTAGTCTGTTGTTTGATAATATCAGAGTATGCAAATTTGCCAATGAGCTGAATACATTTTCAGGAATATGCTCAATGTAATTATCTTGCACTTTTAATATTTGCAAATTATGTAAATCTCGAAACAAAGCAATTTCCATTTTCGAAACTCGGTTGTGTGAAAAGTCTAAGAAGACTAGCCGCTTCAGCCCAGAAAAAGTCGAAGTATTTATCCAGTCAGATGTTAATTCATTATGTGATAAATCCAAAACTAAAAGTTGAACAAGATCGCTAAATAAGCCCGGTGCTAGTACTGTTATTGTGTTATTATTCAGATATATTTCTTTTAATTCTTTGGTGTCGCTAAATAGTTCTGGGGGTAAACTTGTTAGCTGATTGTCCGAAAACCTTATTGTTGTAAGAGAAATAAGTCCTTCTAAAGCTCTATCGGCCACAGAGTTTAATCCATTTCCTTGTAAATATAGTTTCTGCAATCTTTTTAATCCCGAAAGCAGACTGGGTGGTAGTGTATCTATGACATTTCTAGAGAGATCTAAAACTAAAAGATTATCTCCACATTTCTCCGTTGGATGTCGATGTGCGGAAGAAAATTGGAAATGACTGATGTCTCTCATTCTATTGCCAGTCATATTCAGATGTTCTAAGTTTCTCAACGTACAAAGCGCTCCTTCGGGAAACGTTAACATATTGTTTTCACTCAGATCCAATCGTTCTAAGCTTTGAACGTCTCTGGAGAATGCGGTAGGTGTTATTTCAAGTGACATAGTAGACCAATCTGTGTTGTGTGTCCGTATTGTCAAATTTCTCAATTCGCGTAAACCCGTGAAAGCTCCGTCGGACAGATTTCCAATTTTGCAATACTCAATGGTTAGTTCACGGAGTTCAATCAACTGTCGGAAACTGCCAGGAGCAAGTGAGCTTTGAAAGAATAACGCATCACTGCACTCTAGCCGCAGTCGCACTGTTAGGTGTGGTTGTATTGCACTGAAGTTTGTGTTTTCCAATTCGCTATTGATAGTCCTTAATCTGCATTGTAACGCAACCCCGGAGCCGTCGTCGTCTGTTGTCCACCGACACTCGTCAGGAGCCTGGTAGCGCGTCCCGGTAGTAGCCGACAGGGACGCTGTCCACGCCGACAAAGCAGCGCTAAGCACCAACAAGGTGCTTGCCAGCCACTTTGAACACATCGTGGTTTGCGTTCACTTCACTTTAACTTATTACATAGTTTTATTTATCATCCTGTTGCACTCAAACTGCACATAAACTTTTCATCGGTAGCACTCATTAGTCCATTATTTTGCCACAAAGCCTTACTTCACTAGTGGAACCGGCCACTTAACTCGTTACTCGCGGGATCACTAATTGGACAGGATCGTGCGCGCACACTCCGTATTTACGTGACGCGCGCACCCGCGCTGAGGTCTGGGGTGGAACTGAGTTGGACTCAAACCTGCGCTCGCGCACAAGGCCGCGCCGGTTCACGCGTTCCAACAGGTAAATTCATGCCCGAGCTTGAAAGGTAGTAACCGCCGCGGATATTGCTCTTAGTTTAGCTTTATCCGTTTTAAAGCAGAGCCTGTCAGAAAAATACACGGGACGCACACAGGCGCATACGTCACACAACACTAGAAAGTTAAACCGCTTTTTGTGGTAGTCGGGCAAGCTTTGGAGCGGTATGTGCGAAGGAGACAGAGGTATGATAGCGGGGTGCGGTGAGAGCGGAGCTTATTGCGGCGGCTGGTGGGGGCTGGAGGCAGCTGGCCAGGTAGTGCGGACGCTGCGTCGCAGTCGCTGCTTGTTAACACACACGCTGATAGAATTGTATTGCGGACGTTTGATGATTGTTGACATTTCGTTTACTCACTGTCCTTAATGAAACAAACGGAATTTATTACATTTTAACTAGCCGCTTCTCTTTGTGATCATTAAACTTTTTAATGATAGATGAGTAACTTATATTAGTTGAATTATGGAAACTGGATTTGTTAGCCAGAAATATAAAATTGTATGAAATGATACGTATATTTACATTCTAGAAAAAGAACTTACACGTAATGTATTCTATATATTGTGTTTTATTAAGCTTGTATATAATCTTAGCCGTCAATTTACATTTATGCCCGATTTAATTACAGAAACATCAAAGGTATACGTTTACATTTATACTACGTATTTATGTAGATACATATTCGTTATCTAAATACAACCGTGTGGGGGACGATTTGCACATTATCGATATTACACCGACCTTGTTATTTGTATCCCTATCGTGACTAAATTTATAACATTTTGTTATAAAATTCTAATCGCTACCTTATAATGTGAAAACGTTATAAAATCCACTAAATTTCCTAACTTGTGCACGCAAGAAATCTTTATGCATTTAATTTGGGCATCTATCGTTCGACAAACTAAATTGCGCTTTCCAGAAATCCTTCACATAATTGCCTTTTATTTTAGTTAAGCGATTTTGATATAATTCCCCACCGTGCTGCCCCAAACCTCTCATCAAATTAAACATCCTCACATTATGCATTTTGCTTGGCCAACAATTTGTTCGACGCCGTTTCATTTAACAAATTGTGGCCTGGATCAAATGTTAGATTACATTCCTCATGATTTATACGAACATCCTAAACACCATTAACATTTTCGTGTTATTATGTGCCCTTTCTCGTTTCTTTGCAATTCTTTATATAAACCTAATTGTTAAATTGCATCTGCTTTCTTATACTATGGGTTGGCAGCAAATAGTTTTATAGTTCACACCTATTGTGCAAAAAATGTAACAAAACGTGACCTGGGACCAAGGTGAGCTGGAACTAAATCACTTTACCTGAACAACGTCTACGTAATAAATGTTTGCGGTTTCTTTCTCCTATTGAACAAGATTTCCATTTATTTCTACCTCAAATTCATGGTTATGTATCCACTTGAGAGTTCTTTGAAATAAATAACAAGAAATAGAATTGTTTTCTATGGACTGCTTGATGATGAACGTTCTCCTTAATGTTATGTAATAAATGGTCGTGATCATAATTTTATTTTGTGTCGGGATGATAGCAGGATGAGCGGCGCATCCGTCGCGGTACTATTTATGCGAGGCATTGCAGGCCATCCCGGGGCGCCTGCTATATCTTAATTACAATAAATTATCCCTTATGACAAGCGAGAAGCGGAAAAATTGCCATCACACTAGTATTCGTCTATACTATTTGCATCCACCTTTGTGTAAACAGCGCAAATGGCTTTGTAATGGGTATCGCGTCCGTCCCGCTACGACAACGCGACAATATTTCACACCCGGTCCCTCCAATCGTTTGTCCAGATCGCGCCTAGAAACACGCCGCACAAAAGATCAGCGGGATATCACCCTGACTTTTTGTCGTAAGTGGCAAGGCGTTTCTTGTCCTTATAAAAGAATAGATTGCCGGTAAATCGTGGGTCATTGTGGCTCTACTTAATGTGTATTGGAGGGCTGCTATCTACCGCTCGTTATAACAGAACGTTCGTATTCAATTTTCCGTGCACCATGTCGACACGCAACTGTCTGGAGTGTCGGATTGTTGCGTGGGCACATCTGTATGATGTGGGTCAGTTGCCTTTATGATTCATGGAAGAACACTTGAAATAGAATTGAACAAAAAGTAATTGTGTTTCGCATAGTCGCGTCAATGTTAGAACCAGGGTGATAGATACCGTAAGATGCCGCGTAGTCAGTTATAGTTACAGTTTAAAAGACAACTAGATCAAATTCGGGATATATTTTTGTTTTCTTTTTGTGTCGAATTTGAAAAGCCAAAGGTTCTGCTATTTGAAGGAAGAGATATGTCTATAGAACCAAATGTCATCGAAAAACGCTTAGCATTTGTGAATGTTACGTTGCCAAAAGGTATATGAAAATTTGTATACACAAAGATGGGACGAGTTGCACCAATGATTATAATAAGATCATTCACTGACACTAAAATTATATCTGTCGTATAAAGTTGTCTACACGATTGATTTTAATTCGTTTTATCATCAGTGTTCATCGATGTATAAAGCCCCAGTTGATTTCCATTAAAATATTAATTTTTATAATTTTGGTGCCTAATCTCCGGCGACAAGACCGATACCGTCGCGACACTTATCTTGGTGTCGGCGGACACATATAATCCATTAAGTCGTCATTTCCACATGGCTGATCATTCCTCAACCACGCGTCATACCCGCCCCCGGACTAACGCGCCGTATTGTTCGCTACTGCTTTATCTGTCTAAGGTCGTTCTCAATTACAACTAAGTAACGCAAATTCAACCTTAGAACAATTCACTAGGGCCGATTACTCTGCGATTTCTCGGCTGTCGAGGCTTTATCCTGACCGACTAATGGACTAGTTTGTTATCTAATCGGGTACACGGCGGACCTATTAATAATTTCCCACATAATTTTCTAATTAACGTCCTGTCCGGCGAACGGGCGGGGTCTACGGATATACGAAAACGGAAATGACGCAGAATTAGGGTTTGATATATTGTAACATATACCAATTTAGGTTAAGAACATAAATTACACGTGAACATATTTGTTTCATTATTAATTTTAATGACTTTACTTTTTGTTTCAGGTAAAATTTACCAGCAACATTTTCCGGTAAACAATTAGGTAAACAAATATACAAAAGTATTAGCTTTTACGTTTGTAATTTGCGTACATGAGCTGCGCGCTATTTGTGCAACGATGTGCAAGGTAATCCTTTTTACAAATAACATGGATAATAAAGTTTAATGTGTGCTTTAAACATTAGTGTCTTGTGTTACCAGTGTTAACCCCTGATAGGGTTAGAGTGTAGCGTGTAAATTCAAGAGATTTTCCACATGAGCGATGTCAAAGTAACAACACAAAGAACGGTAGGGCAAACCCCGAAAGTAAATCCGACAAGTATACATTTCGAAAGGCGTGTGATGTTCGTATAGCATTCATACACTTACTGTGTTGGTAATTGTACTAGGGTAGAGCCCATAGCAGTGCAGATCGCGACACGGGCAATTTGGCGCGCGAGGCAGCGCGGGTTCATTTGTTCACAGCGGCACCTGGTGGCAGGACCCACGTCAGGCGAATAAGGAATCCGGTAGAGTCGCCCATTCATATTTAGTTTATTTTGTAGTTTACTTGAATTCAATAATACTGCGGAAAATCGGTAGCTTTTTGTATAGCTCATGAGAGTTTTAAAGAGTTGAAAGCCCTGGAAGAATGAACTACAAAACAAAATTGAAATAAAATTATTATTAAAAGGGGTTAGTAATTGTTTGACATTTCAGAGTTGTAAATAAAAAGAAACTTGTTATGGAAGTCAAATTAAATATATTATTGACTGCCATTTGACTACTGTCCAAAGCAATTTCTTCAAAACTTGATTGTCTCATTGTCATGAGACAACCATGATCGTTCAAAAGTGATCTCGTCTTTTGTATAATAGTTTTGTTCGTAGGAAGCTAGAAAGTAACGCCATCATTTGGAAACCCATTCATTATAATCACATATCGACGTTAGAGAAAATTCAGAAGTCATTTGTTCGTAGCCTTTATAGAAAGATTTACGGTTATTACCCCTTACTTTACCCCACTACTTTTATTTTGGGTATGGTTGGCTACAGAACGCTGGAAGTAAGACGCAATCTAGCTCTTATGACCTACATATTTCGCTTGGTGCGTGGAATCTTGTTCAATCCATTCATACTATCCATGATGGGCTTTTGGGTGCCTAGGACCAGCCTGGTGCGACCACACAGAAGAAGGATATTTGCTATACCTTCTACACGTTCTAAGGCAAGTGATCTGACTCCTTTGCCCCGCTCGCTTAATTACTTCAATCGGATGCTTATCTTTGACTCCTCTTTGGACCTCTTTGCATGCTCGGAAGCCCATTTTACTGTTTCCGCGGGACGATATCTCGAGTCATTGACCATAGACAGTAGCATCATATAAGTATTGTGCATCCCGAATAATTAATACTATGTTCATGTTTTAAAATTTGATTGTTAATAATGTACTTGCGATATGTCCAATTCCATGATTTGTTATTTTTATCTAATTTTTTATTCAGTTTATTTTATGCAATATATAAAATTCAATGATTTGTAAAATTTTCATTCAATTCATTTTGTATCAATTCTTTATTAAATATAATTACATTATTTTTTCAATCAATGATATTAGCTTAAGAATTACTATTGTGTTTGGATATTAATCTGTAAGCAATATGTAATATAATAAATAAATATACAAACGATTTGCACCTACGAAATAAACGATTTGTACCTACGAATGCAATATCATTTATTTTATCTATTTTATCCGTATTTAATTACACAAATCTATAAAACTGTCTATTTACTAACCGACTTCAAAAAAGGAGGAAGTTCTCAATTTGACTGTTACGCGATAA